GACTCTTTGCTGCCATGGAAAATAAAGGTATATTCGATTTCAATTTTCGTCAAAACAAGAAAATCAGCAAAGTCTAAAAAATTTTTAGACAAACCAGTGGTGAAGAGTTATATTCACATAATAACAGAAACTAATTTTTTTTAAAGGACGAGCGAAGATTTCGCTTGTGCATCACTCAATTCTATAAATCAGATGTAAGCCCGATTCGGTGTCCACAATATCGCTTAGCTGACCAACCTAAAAAAAAATACATAAAAGTTTTATTCAAAATCCAATCTTCAGCTTAAATTTATTTTTAGGTTAACTGATTCCCAGAAATCATCTTATTTTTCTGCGATAAAAAAGAAACTCTTTATTTTAACACTTTTTTGAAAAAAGCATTAAATTAAAATAGCAATTCTTACTTCAAGACTGAAAGCTGCATCTTCGAAGGCCTTCTGCATTTGCCGTCGTTTGATGAAGCCCAAATCACCACCACGTTTTGCCGATGAGCAATCGCTAAATTCCTTAGCCAAAGTCTTCATTTTTAGCTGTTTGTCTGGTGCTTCCTCAATCTGCTTTTTGTAACCTAAAAGCAAAAAGAAAACTTTCTGGATTATGGTTAAGCAAAAAATAAACTAAAAATTCTAAAGTTTCGCAAAAAAGACGGTATATTAAAGAAGTTTTTTAAAGACATTTGCTGATTAACAATCTTCTCTCTCCCTCATTTTTCTTAAATCCTTCCGATTCTGCCCGCTTCAAATCTCAGCTTTCTTGATCGTCGACGTTGCACGACTGTTAGCTTGTCCCGTTTGGGCCGAAGAGTACTTTCGTTACAATTTCATTTCAGCTACAATTGCACTGTTTTTTTTTTTGTACGTTTCCTCCCTTTTCCCTTCTTTCCATCTCATTTCATTTTGTAAACTTCCTTTGAAATACAGCAAGGAATAAATAAATCGCTGAATATATAAAAAATGTGAATAAACACCCTGCTTTTAACAAACGTACAAGTCTAGGTTTCCATGCATAAAAACGACGAGCAATGTGCGGGGGATTCAGAAAATATAAATTTCCAGATTACCAAAATTTCTGAATTCGTTTTAAATATTTTCAGAAAACTTTATAACCTTTAAAAATCAAACCGAAAGTTCAAAACAGAGAATAAGAAGCTTCTAAAATGTTAAAAAATATCAAAATATGTCAAGCCAGCGAGAATAATCATAGACTTAGAAGGGCTTCACAAACGGCCAAAATTGGCGTAAAATCAAAAAAAAAAGTCGAAGAGATCGAAAAATTTTTTAAACCGATTAAAATTCTTTTTGCGTCTTCCTTCGACCGAGTGATAGTGTCTGAGCGCCAAGAAGCTGGTCGACGCGATCCGACGTGTTTCACCAAAAGATGAGCGCAACGAACCTGAGCAAAATACTGTCAAAAGCAATTTTTTTTCCCCCAGAATAAGCAAAGTTTTTGGAAAAAATGCTTAATAAAGGAAAATTTAAAAGACAAAGAGTAAAAAAATAATCCTATAACCCAAAAATGTCAAATTTGATTAAGCCAAAAACATCAAGTAGGCAAAAAATGAAATAATGCTATGTGCGAGGATTACAAAATTAACCTGAAGTACAGACGGTACAGCTGGTTTCGTGGGGCGCGCCCATTGACTTCGTCCAGTATACACATTGAAATAATAAAAGCGATCTGCATAAAAAAGTAATTAAAAAAATATAATTTTGCATAGATGCAGCCTTCACACATTTACATCGACAATTCATGAAGGTACTTACCAGGCCGACCCACATACACATACACACACACACGCACATATACACACATACACGCACATATACACACAAACACACACACACATACACACACACACAAACATACACACCTACACACACACCCACTCACACACATGCACACACAATCACTATGGGTCGTCCCAACATGCGTTTTTGTATTATTTCATTTTTTACAAACACACACACAAGCACAAACATACATATGTAAATATACAAACACACACACAGACAGCCTTTTGCCAATATGGGTTTTTGTTTATTGTAAAAACGCAACAGTGCTGCACAGCAAAAACGCAAAGGAACTTACTACTTGAGCGGCTCATACGCTTTTCCCAACCCTTCGGTAGCTCTTGCACCGGTTCATCGTCATCCTCTTGTTCCGGGTCATCGACA